AAGCATATAAGAGCAGAGATGATCATCTCTCCTTGTCCGGATGACATGTAAATCCCTTTTGTTGATGGAAACTAAGGTATATGTTTATGAAATAGCAACAAAATGTTACACTCAACAATCTCTTGTTTCATAGACGAATTCAATTAAGGGAGGACTGATGAGAAATACTGACATACCTTGAATATGGAGATCCTTTAATGGGCTTTTGCCCGTATTTTTTCCATGAAAAATCATCTTGAGGTGTATCTGCTAGCTTGCTACTTATAGCAGGAACTTTGATTGTTTTATTTATCCTCAGCTTCCTATCACCAATGAAAGAAGATGAAGTACGTAGTGAAATGATAGGAATAGAAAAAACCATCATTACGATAGACGAAAAATGAAAAGCCACAAATTATAGTAATCAAAACAGCTGCATGAACCAGAGAATAACAAACTATAATTAATTGGCATTTCCTAAGGTGACCCATAGAAATCTCAAACAGAGAGCTTCAAGGAAAACTCTATAAAGAAGAAATTAAATAGCAGCACAGGAAATTAAGCAATTCAAGAAGAAAATTATTACCAAAAACGTGTTTAGCAACATTAATGGATTTTACGCATGCATACAAGTCAAAAACAGAAGAAAAGGTAAGTATACGAGGAATAATACCTTCGTCTTGGAGGAAGAGAATATGGAGGAATCATCCTGAGTGGCCAGACTTTCCCAGACGGAGTAATGATGGCCGTCCATACTAATTGTAGAAGTGAAAGACTGTTCTGATAAAAGATGGTTCAGGCCCAAGAACGAGTTCTTCGAGATAACATTATTGCTGTTTTCGTAGTAACAACGATGTAAGGGTGATTTTTGTACTTGCCCATATGAGCTGAGACTGTTGGAGAGTGTCAGAACAGGTGGGGAACAAGTACTCCGTGTGGTAAGTGTCTGTGCTGTTGTTATGGTAGTTCAAGTTCTTTGATTAAAAAATCATGATAATCCATCAATTCATTGGGATTAACATGGGTGAAATTTGGCAAGGGACCCTTCCTGATTCTCTTGTGATCTGATAGAATTGATGCATCAAGAAGTGAAACCAATTTCATGAATTCACTTATAGTATCTTGAGCAATCATGCTCAATTCCTGGGTACTTCTTTCTCGTGTTTGAGCAGCAGAGATATAGCTAAAAATGAGGTGGGCACATCTGAAACTTCTCTCTGCAAATTGCTGGGCTTTCTTATCCCACCCGGGACTGGGTGTCGTGTAGAAACAGAAACTGGATTCCTCCTTCATAATGAGCTTCTTACACTGTAATTCGACAAAAGAATTATATTATGACTACCTGATCGGTGAAGCGTTGACTGACAGAAACCAAGAGTGGAACTCCATAAAAAGTAGCGAAACAACCATTACAGACCACCTTCTGCAACTGGGTCTGATCTTCTTGATCAAACAAACTAGTCATTGTAGCATAATTTCAAATAAACTGATGCCAGAAAGCAAAATAGAATCCAAAATCTATAAATTCTATCAAGTAGCCGGCAAGAACACACGTCACATGAACGCACTTCAAGGGGGCTTATCTTGGGTTAACATTAAGTGATCAAATCCAACACACATTCCCAGATGGTCAATGGTGCCTTGTGTCAGTGAAAGAAAGGGAAAGCGAAAGAAAGGGGAAAAAAATCTATGCTCTATAGAACATACCAAAGAAAATGGATCGACCTAAGAAAAGTCTTCAGCTGGGAGATGTTTTGAACTCCCTATGATGCTTTATTAACAAGTATTCGTCTTAATTTTTCAACGAGAAATAGAACATTACCAAAAGAAAAAGAAAGGAAAACAGAGAAAAAAAAAAAACTAAACTTAAAGGAAGCTGAGAATCAATGAGTAGAACCAACAACTACAAATAGTCAGTAGTTCAGATCAAGGAACTCAGTTGCCAGGTGTACGGTGCAAAGAATAATGTGGAGGGAATTTGATGTACATGACATCATTCCACTTGCCCGTGAATCTATTCCACTGACCACCCAAGATCAACTCCATAGCTTGTGAGTTGTGTGACTAAGACTGATAATTTATCTCTTCTTCAGACATGACCCTAAGAATATACAGTAGTCATTGGAACAACGGTGGATTAAAGGGTTTGGTGTCTTCTAATAAGTAATAATCACTGATTTTACTTTTATCTCTGTTCATTGTTTCATTCTTTGCTGCTTCTGTATCATTGGGACTGCTCACCGATGTTGCCAGGTTAAAAATTCCATGACCCTAAGAATATACAGTAGTGATTGAAGATTTTTCTATGACGAAAGTAAACAACCAGGTATACGAGTGTGCTATATCCTTCCTGAGTCGTGCATCAATAAGATATAGAGGACGGTTGGAATTAAAATCAGAATAAATAATTCAAATATGTTTTCCTCGAGCTATAAATACCCATAGAATTTATTATGGCACATTGATTGCATGATGTAGGGGCATGTCAGATTAGCAAGAGGACCCCAATAAATTCTCCATTCATCATTTCTACTGCTATCTGAAAAATGTAATTAGGGATAAGGAGACCACCATGATTCTAGGCCCGATATGACCATGTTGGCCGTGCTGGGCCTGGGGTTTTACGTTCACGGGCCGACATGGCACGGCATGACTAAGCGGGACATGTCGCCCGCAGCCCACGGGCCAATATGACCCATATATATTTTATATATATATAATATTATATCTATTATATAATTATATAATAATATATTAATAAAATAAATATATTTTTAAAATTTATTATACTATTTTATTTAATTATTGCATATATAAGCAATTTTATACATAAAGTTCATATAAAATTAAAATTTTAAGTTTTTTGTTAATTTTTTTTAAATAAATAGCTTTGGCCCGATGCACGGCCCGACCTGGCCCAAAGCTCAGCCCAAGGCATGACATAGGCCCGCATGGGCCTGGGCCGTAGGCCGTTCCGAGCTGACCCCAAAATTTTCACCAAGGAGGGTGGCACGACCCATGACGGCCCGCGAGCCAGCACGACACGACCCGCACTTTGCGAGGGCCRCCACGACCCACTTTACACCTCTACTCCTACCAATTCTCTCTCTCTATTTCTTAAAATTACAAGAATGCCACACTCTCTCTCTTTTGCTTTTTTTTTCATTACAAATTACAAGAATGACACTCCTACCAACTCTCTCTTGCTTTTTCCTTACAAATTACAAGAATGCCACTCTCTCCTATCAACTCTCTCTCCTTATAAATTACAAGAATGTCATTCTCTCTTGCCATCTCTCTCTCTCCTTATAAATTACAAGAATGCCACTCTCTCCAACTGAGGAAGACCTTAGCTCGGCATCTCAACTGTTAGGGGACTTGCAATCAAAGGTAGTCGAGCTCGAGCCGAGCCAAGCTCGAATTTTTTAGCTCAAGCTCAAGTCTCTAATTCGAATCGAGTCCGAGCTAGACGACACCTTGACCAAGCTAGACGACACCTCAACCACTGAGGGAGACCTCGGCTCAGCACCTTGACAACTAAGGGAGACCTCAGTTCATCTCCTCGTCAACAAAGGGAGACCTCAACTCGACACCTCACCTGTTAGGAAAACCTCAACTCGACACTTCAACAGTTGAGGGAGACATTGTCTTTGCACCTCGATTGCTAGGGAGACCTAGAATTAAAGGTCTCATGAGCCTAATTGAGTGTGTACATAGGGTGCCACCTCGGTCACTGAGGGAGATCTCGACTCAACACCTCGACAACTGAAGGAGACCTCAACTCGGCACCTTGTCAACTAAGGGAGACCTCAACTCGACACATCACCTTCTAGGGAAACCTCAGCTCGACACTTCAACAGTTGAGAGAGACCTTGGTTTGGCACCTCGACAATTGAGGGAGACCTTGGTTGCTTGAGAGACTTGCAATCAAAGGTAGCCAAACTCAAACTTTCGAGCTTTTGACTCGCGCTGAACTCGATCTTGAGCTTAAATCTCTTATTCGAATCGAGCTCAAGCCTGATAGTTTATGAGCGAGCCCCTACAACGTAGGGCCCCTTCGCTAGTGTATTTCTTTAAAACGAAATGAAAAACATTCCTGTTGATAAAAAATAAAATGAAAGCATTCCTTAGCGTGGTTTAGAAAATATCCCTATTTTTGTGATTCAAAAAAATGGCCCTATTTTAGGTTTTGTAACCCACAAAAAAAAACGAGAACTTCTCCTCCCACCTTCAGTGCGGCTAGAGGGTTGGGACATTAAAATTGAAGGAGGCAATCTCCATTCTATAGCCATTTGCCTAGCAAAAAATACAAAGGCTCAGTTTGAAAGGAGTACAAATACAAATATGTAGACTGCAAAACCTTAAATGGAAATATCTTATGTACCGATTGATAAATGTAGCTTTAAAACCCCTATAAATTCATAATATTGTTGATTTATGAAACAAGACATTAATAGAATAATAGGGGGGGTATGCAAGTGCAAGTGCAAGTTGGACTGTCACTGTCAGAATTGAAGAATTTCAACATCTGGCTCGGATTTGGGCTTGGGCTCGTTGAAAATTTAACAGATTTCCAACCTAACCACACCCAAGTCATTGACCTAGATGTAAAAGCAAAAACATTTTTGAAACAAGAAACTCAAGTACGCTTTTCTTCTTTCAATTTTGGAAAAAACAAAACATTAGACAAACGTCGTGTTTTATATGTTTCTGTATAGGAAGGACAATGTTTTTCAAACCATGAAGACCCAGTTTACTAAAATCATAACAAATGGAGGGAGGGCAAACCATCTGGCATTAAAAGTTGCAATGCTTTTTAATTATCAAAAGAAAAGTAAAATGTTGGGGAATACTGTTTGAACTTTCTCTAGTGATTCGGGTTTTTTTTTTCATTTGACTGTTTAGTTGTTCTTTAGTTACACTCATTCATAATAGAATGAACATAATCACTCGCATATGTGGTCATTCTCTTGAAACCCCCTTTTCCATTTTTTTTGGGTCCGTCTGAAAAGAGAACGAGATGGAAGAGATTCAAGAGAACGAGTGAACTTTTAGAAATCCCAAGTGACAGAATACCCACAAATTAGAAAAGCTAATAAGATCTCCCAAGTCAGTGAATGGACAAGGAAATAGTATGTAGCAAACTCTATGCCATTGCCAGCTTATAGTCAATTTCATGAATAATTCCTTCGGCCAACATAATTGAGTTTCGATCGTCTACTTCTCACAGGGGCACACCAGTTATCTTCAACAATCAGTTTCCTGGATCTGTTCTTCCTATACTCTTTTGATTTAATAACTGCCCCTATAATATTTATGTCTTCACAAATTTCATGTCTTGAAAGAGATACAAGCCCGGGCAGAATCTCTCTCTGGAAGTCTTTCAGTCTCCTCCCTCTTTTCAAGTTCCATCTACTCCGCTTCTTTTCCATTTCATTTACCTCCACTGGCCCTGATGACACTGAATAATCTTCTATAGTGCTCTCTGTTAATCTCAAGGTGATTGATTCATAAGAATCAGACGAGTATTCTGGTTGCTCTGTCCTTTCATCATTTGTTAATTCATCTGATCCTGCCTTTGCAAAACAATCCTGGGAACACAATGAATTTTCCAAAGAGAACTGGACAAGGGATTCGGCTGCTATTTGGACCAAAATATCCATTTCATTATCTTCTTTTTGCTGCTGACTGTCATATTGATGTTCTGATTCAGTACAGTCAAAAGATTTATCCTGTGTGCAAGCATAAATTCCAGTTTCCACATTAGGTTCCTGCTCACAAGAGTGAGTTTCTGCAACTTGAGATCCCAATTGAGTAGTTCCAAACTCCTCAAAGGCAGAAAGATTAGAAACTTCTAACTCATGTTTATCCTCTGTTCCAGATTGCAAGTCCTTTATACTGTTAGAGTTATTGTCCTTGTCACAATTAGACTTGCTTGTAGCATTAAATGCTTTGGAATACCCCTCTTGAAATACAATCGAACTTTCATATGGATCTGAAGATACTGTATCTTCCTCACTCTTCTCAAAGTTTACAGGGCTTACTTCTACTTGGGGGAAATCCAAATGCATTGCTGATGCATAGGGATGATCGCCTAGCTTAGCGACATGAGTTGTTGAAGAATCTGTAATATGATTGTGTGGAGAACTAGGTGGTTCCAGAGACAAATCTACAATTTCTCTGCAAGCCTTATTAGCATGGTTGGTTAAATCTTCATAAAGGTCTAATGCGTCTTCAGGCAAAGACTCCAGATCAATAGCACCTCTCTTAATTCCATTATTTGATTTGAACTTGTTACTTTCATTGCAAGCTTGAATTCTGCAATCTATTCCCTTAGAATCTGTCAAAGCAGAATGTGCAGAGTTTTCTTGTGGAAAAACATCAGAAGTTCCACTTGAATGACTATCTGTTACTTTCCAACAAGTTGTGACATGCTGAGTCCCTTTATAGGGTATATCACTGCACCCCTGGAGAACATTGTGAGATTTTTCTGCAAGATCATTTGATAAACAAGATGAATCATCAAGATGAACTCTGTTAAGGTCCATGGACATCGTGCTATGTGAAGAGGATTGTTGCTTCTCACTGAATAGACTGATAAATGGGCTACTGGTGTGTCCTCCATTCAATCCTGCAGAAGTATCCAAGTCAAGGAGCTATAGCAACAAAGAATGCACTTAATTGGGTAACAAATTGAATGACTCTGGTTATATTGCTGTTTGTGTGAAGAAATACAAGATCACCGAAATTGCCGCATGAGAAATGAAAATGCTAATCTCTATAGCAAGTGTTCTTTTATTTTTTTTTTCTGGTGCTAGTCTATTATAAGTTTTGTATTGAAGAAAACTTACCTCTATCTGTATACAAGGATGTCTGCTCTTCGCTGCTTTTACTGCAGTTTGCAATAATGTGATTCATGAAAAGCCCATTACCAGAACCTTTTCCCATTCTACCTGAAAAGCTTGGGTCAGATAGAACAGGAACTTGCAGCCTATACGTATCTACAGGATAGTTTGTTGGAGCTTCAGATGCAAGAAAACAGAAAGGTTTAACTTCAGTGCTTGTTAACTTCTCATTGGACTCTTCCAAATCAATGACATCTTGGGCAGAAAATGGAGCCTTTTTATTGGACCAAACTTTACTAGAACCATCCATCTTATTTTGGTCTTCTCCACCATTTGCTAAAAGTTTCACCTTCTTAGTATCAGAAAAATGACCACCACAAAGAAAATCCTTTGTTTCAATAAATTCTCCTATAGATGGCAATGAATTCATTTTCTTGGGAAGTTCAGTGTCTACATGACTGATATACTCATCGGCTGGGAGTTGAAGGTCAAAAGGTCTTTCCTTAAGTTTAGAGTAGGCACCTTGGCACTCCAAATCCTGGTTTGCAACTAATGTAGAACTGACCTGAAAAACCCAACTTAACATGGTAATATAGTACTTAATAATGCAGATGAAGGGAAGAAATAGGACAGAAATCCTTGAATAAAAAATGGAAATGATACAAATGCAGGTAGAACAGGATCCACCAACTAACACGCCAGGATATCATAAAACCATGAAAAGACCTAAATGATATGTATTCATCTGATAGGGATGCCTTTTGTCCAGTATATCTCATTGGTGAACTACCAGATGGTGGGTTGAACACAGTGTTGCATGGATGTGGACATCGGAGTCTGAATTCAACACATGTCCAAGAGTCTGACTTGGCAAGGTGAGAACATGTGGACCATGGACATATCTATATACTATTAAAATGGTAGATCTATAATGCCAGAGAGGTATGATACTGTCATACTGGAAGAGATTTGACCAATCAAACCCCTCCTGTGAATTTTGATGAATAGGAACTGATTGGTTACCAATTCTATGATATCAGTTTATTAGTTATAGGTTTTTAAGCTATCATGCCTTTCCAGTATCATAGTCGGGCCCCTATTAAAATGCATATGTTTTTTTTTTTTTTTATTCAAACATTATATTACCTGCAAAAAGAGGTCTACTGTTGCCTTTGTTACAAAGCAGAATAAGCAAGGAGATATAAAAGAAATTTTATAATAGAAGTGTCCTCAAGAATCTGTGGAGTGTTGGACTCATAACGTGTTTATCCATTTATCAGAGTCCATGCAACAGTGGTTCAACAGAACATGTCTGCCCCAGGCATATCACATTAGCAAGCACAGGTTCCAACCATCATTACCCTGCCCCGGCTAGAGTATTGCATATAAAGAATGTATTATTGGGTAGGCTAGCTTTATTTACCATGGATGGTCCAGAAATGGCTCTCTCATCTACCAATGGTCTATACATTGGTTGATCTTTAAATGGTAATTGGGCTGATTGTGTGTTTGTTGTCCATGAATTATATCTATCAAACTCCCTCCAGCTGAGATCCTTCATCATAGTCTTTTGAATCCTGTATAGGCGATGGAGTTCATGGACCTGAAAACAATATCAATCAGTATCACCAAGAAAGAATCAAAGAGAAAAGTAAATCAGTTTATTCTTCACATGGTAACACACTAACGCATACATGGCCTGGCAATATATGAATTGATCCAGACTGTTCAGCAAGCAGGAAAGAATGCTGCTTTATGACATCAAGAACAGAATCTAAGCAGGTCCCCATGCGTAGATGCATAATTCTGAAAAGATAGTCCTCTCACCTGATTCCTAAAAATAGCCTCGTGCTGGAGCATTGTCTGCTTTAGAAATTCCTTGAAAGAATCGGCATATCTATGCACAGAATTCCCTGCCAACATTCTATTTTCATGAAAATTGATCAAAATGTGGCCTCCTAAATCAGACCTTGCATTGTCTGGTGTTACTAAATTTTGCCAGTATCCTTCAGATAGTACTTCAAGCCCCATTCCTGCAAATGTTTTATAAGGAAACGTTAGCAAGAAGATAAAGAACACTGTGAAAGTAAGAAGTCATGATTAGAAAATAAAAAACAAAAACAGAGTAAATTATGCGATAAAAAGACCAAATGAGAAGGGCTACCCATTCTCATGACCAAATTCTTCTTATCTTAGAACAGCTTGAAAATTTTTATTATGAAAAAGCAAGTGACAACCTGGGAACTAAGGAAATATGCTGCATTGTTTTACATCACCCTTTCTCCAAAGGGAGGCTAGAACAGTATTTCTATAATTGACTGGAAAAATATAAGGGAAACAGAATAAGATCCTGTCCTGCATGATTGATGAAGTAAGATGCAAAAAAAGATGAAGTAAAAAAATACTAATGATCAACTTCCAACCATACAAGTTGCACTGGTTCAGCTATCATGAGAGCTTAATGAGCATAAGATTTGAACATTTAAAGTAGAAGGCTAGCAAATACTAATGATCAATGTGGTCATCACGATATCCTGCATTTAACTTTTGGGCTGTTTTCTTTTTCATTCTTCCTTTCTTTTTATTTCAATTTGTTATTCCCAGTATTTAGCCTGTTTGGATGGTATATTTTTGTTCCAACACAAAACTAAAGATACAGTAGTAATCTAATTTATAACGGAATAGTACATTCTGTCACGATAGTCAACTTCTACAATCTTTATCTGCAATTGATACATCCGTTGGAGGTTAAGGAAATATTGCAGACGATCCGACTAGATCCATTCTAGAGCATCAATTACCCTGAACACTAGACTTTGATCCTAACTCTTGTGCCGCTACCAATCCAACAAGAGAAGTAATACTGTAATAGTACATTCTATCACGAAATAAGTCAACTTCTAGAATCTTAATCTGCAATTGATACATCAGGTGGAGGTTAAGAGAATGTCGCAGAAAACGTGACTGAGTCCATTCCAGAGCATCAATTGCCCTGAAAACTAGACCTCGATCCTAACTCTTGTGCCACTACCAACAAGAGAAGTAAAATTTTTTCAACAACTCTGTACTACCTCCTCTCTCATGTGAGAACTCTATATGGCCATTTTCAATATAGCCTTTCTTTTCCCCTTTCTAGGATATGGGGTTGTATAAATGACTTGATACGGAGTTATGGTTGATATCGTAAGCAGAAACTCCGTGAACTGTATTTGCTCTGAATTCACAAAGACAGATCCAAAAATATTCTGATAGTTTTCAGTTCCTAAACTTGGTAGATTAGAAAGGAAAAGTGTTTACCACTGACAGAAATTAAGGAATTGTATCGTAATCCCGTCCTAAATGAATTTGTACATGGAAAAACAAAGAAAAGAAATCTCATCCAAAACAAAATAACATAAACCTAAAAGTTAATGGTTAAATTAAAAACAGAAAATGAGTAGAAAAAAGAAGGATACACGGAATCAGAGCAAGGCTAGGAAGGAGCAGTCTCCTTCTCCCATGAAGAAATCCGAGATTTGTCCGTGAAATTCTCGTAGTAGCTTGGAATCCACGTACAACTTGAAAACCACCTCCCCGTTCTCCCAAAAAAAAAGACAAATTAAATGAACAAGTCAATAAACAAAGCTGCCTCTGAGACTGAGAATTGAGGAAGTTGCAACTGCCTACAAAGATCGCATCCCGTCCCTGACTTGAACAAAGAAAAAGCCTTAAAGCTCTAGGGTTTGAGTGTTTGATGGAGAGAGGAAGAGTAGAGAGAGAGAGAGAACAAAAAGAAGACAAGTGCAAACTGCAAACAGGAAGCAAAAAAGAAGGGGAATCAGATCACTGGGGACAGCAGAACTGAAACTCTTTTTTTTTCTTTTCTTTTTCCTTTTCTCAATAGAAAAAACATGGATAATTCCCCTCCGTCCCTGAGTTTTGTTAGTGTTTCACGCAGGTGGGGATTACCGCATCATCTTTTCTCTTTCTGGCGAAAGGAAATTTGATACTTAATAAACTGTCCCCCTCTCTCTCTCTCTCTCTCTCTCTCTCCTGATGATAGGTAGTCTGATTCCTTCCTCGTCACAACTCCCTTTCTTTCTCTCTCTTACTTTCTCTGTTCTCTTTTCACTTTCGATTTCTGGTGCATGACGACCAGTCAGCCCTGTTGTATTAATAAATAACGACAGTTACTTTGTCAATTTATATTTTTGTCCTTATACATTTCTCCAAATGACACCAATCTCAACTTTCTGTGGCACTTCCATACACCACATCAACCAGTTGATGAACGGCTTAAGATCGTTTAGAGAAGTGATAAATATGGTATCTCGATATCGTCCCCACCATCGAAATTGGACATTCTGGAATGTTGGTGGGCGGTTTCACTTCTAACAATTCTCTCTCTTCTCTCATAGACAAAATAAATAAAAAGCCTTTGGATTCGATGATATGATGAGATGAGAGACATGACAGAGCGTTGATGATAAATGAATCTTGTAAAGATGGCAATTTTATCCGTCCCCGCCCCGGCTTGTCTCACCTCAGTTGGGGCGGGTTTGGGAAAAATCCGAAACTCTGGGTCAAGGACGGGTAGAGATGATATTTGTTCATCCCGCTCTAACTATATTATATAATATAATATATATATAATTGTTAATATGTATTATATCATAATATATTATTATATTATACTATATAATATAAAATAATTMTAAATAAATTAAAAAAATAAGTTTATAAATATATAAATCAGAATGATCGAGGTGCGACGGGGCAAAGTTGGTGATTTTAATTCGGTCTCGGGCACGGGGCAGGCAAACCCGGCCCCGCCCCGCTCCGTTGCCATTCCTAATGGGGTAGACAGTAGACTGTAGAGAAGTAGAGAACCGTAGTAGTGGAAGAGTGATGCTCTACTAACATGCGCCCATAGTTGAACAGTAGCTGGTGTTCTGTTGTCCCACGGTCCCCATTGGTCTCTGCGCCTTCATTCATTTGGATCCACGTGAATCGCACTTTTTTCTGCCGGTAAACCCCACTACTTATTAATTTCTTTCTTGTAGCTATTCAACTTATCGAGTACTACCAACAACATCAAGATTCAGTTCCAGTGGGGCCACTCCTACTCGCTTGCCACTTGCCATTTGCCAATTTACCAAGCAGGACTAACCCACTCGGGAGAGTCTCAGAGTCGTGGGAACATGGCAGCCACTCTTCCACTGATCTAATTCCATCTCTTATTTATGATCCGGTTGGACCCCGACTGTCTGATTGTTGTTGAAATGTGTTATGTGTATGATCAAGCCTTCGTCTGATTAAGACATAAAGGGGCCCCACTTCTTGGACGGTCCGCGTATGTAGAACAACGTGGACCATCTTTGTGATTAACTGGCCCCCACTCCCCAGCCATCCCAGTTGTGTGAGTCGTTACAGACTACAGTCTCTACAGACAGCTGTTATTAGATGGTATGATACATTAGCATCCTAACCATCAACTAAAGGAGAGTCGAGGGTAATTTCGGGAATTTGAATAACTAGTGTAGCAGAAGACTGAAATCGGCACGAGCAGAAGCACAAGAGATTGATTGAATGGTGTTGATTGATGATTAATTGAGGATAGGAATAGGATACGACGGTACGTTGGATAAGAAGTGAGACGTCACAAGATCGAATCTCCTCTCTCTCTCTCTGTCCTCGCTCTTTCGTGTCTGTCGGAAAGATTTGGCTGATATAATATGAAGTAGGAAGAGAGACCAGAGAGTCTGAAAATATCCAAATGACGGATACGAGATAGACGGTCAGATACTGACGTTGACCGACTTTGGTGGTCAGTCGTCACTCACTATTATTATTATTATTATTATTATTAAATAATATTTTTTAATATATTGAATAATAAAAAAAAAGTAACGTTGAAGTTTTCGACTCACAGATTTTGTCCCAAATAACGACGGAACAAGTATGATATGATGATATCAATTATCAAAGTTGTGTCGCTTGACACACAAGCACTTAATCTGGACCTGTTGATAATTAAATAAAAATTGAATCATAATTAATTCCGTCCAGAGTCACAGATGGGTGTGGGTCGACCACAAAAGATTGACAGCGTGTTTCCCACCGGAACTGAAAAAAAAAAAAAGAAAATCTCAACTATGAACTATCAAGTGGTTAGGACTTGAGAAAACGATATCTAACGATTCTAACCGACAACCGGCACCAAAGTCCCACGATATTTCTTTCCGAACCCCTAGGCCCGAGGACAGACAGCCAAACAGCCAGACAGTCTGTTTTATCATTCATCATCCACACCACATCTTCTTCTATCATTCGGTCCCCCTTTCTATCTTTCTCTCTACGGGGATTTGGATGTCTGTTTTTTAGACGGTCCGCGCCGATTAGCGTGAGCAATACACCTGGCATTTGACGAGGATGCCTACAAAGGATACACGATGGCATTATTTTCCTCTTATCTGGAGTGAAAAACTTGAAGTGATCCTCAAGGAAATATGTATTCATGTATGGACTACTTAATTAAACAACTAAGGCTGTATTTGATTGCAATGCAAATAAGTTTATAGTGATGCAAAATTATGGTACTACAAATGATTTGAGTGTAAATTTTAATTTATTTTTCTTTCAAATTTTAGTTAATTTTATTTGATTGCAATATAAGAACAAGCTAAAACCTAAAACAAAATTAAATAAGAATTTATGTTTTTTTCATTTGCACTTTTATACATTTGTATTAATGTAAATAAAATTGCACTGCAATCAAACAAAGCCTAAAGATCGTATTATTCAATTAGAGGGTCCATATATTGCCTTTTTTTTTCAAAATCTTTGCATACGAGATATGTGACTATAATAAGAGATTTATTAGTCAGGACTCGTGAAATGCACCGGCGTTATTAAATATAAATTAAATAAAAAATAGTCGTATACATTTTCAATTGGACAAATCGGTCCAAGTTTAAGAATATCAATGGGTCTAATTAGGGGTGGGGACCATACTCCCCTCCCTAATCACGCCCCTGACCCCAATCTCCATCAATTAGAAAAATAAACCCTCATTCTTGATTCCCAATGTAGAGACAGGTTCCTCATTGAGGACCAAAGTCCCCAAATTCTTTTTTATTTTTAATTAAAAGTTTGCTTTGAAAAATGATTATTTAAAAAAGAAAAAAAAATCATTAATCTAGATTGATTAACATTTAAGGCTCAGTTTGGAAGGAGTACAAATACAAATATGTAGAGTACAAATATATACATTTTGCACTCTACATATATGTATTTGTACTAGGGGTGTTCACGGGTCGGGTTGGGTCGGTTTATTGGAGTTTTCCCAACCGATCCGACCTGGTCAGGTTACCTGAGGTGGAAACGAAACCGATCCATTGATAGGCCAAACCGACCTGGTCGGTTTGGGTCAGTTTTGGTTTTGCTCCTGTACAAAATGACACCTAATTGAATTCTAATTGTAATTGCCTAATGGGCCTTCTACTTTTAGTAGAAGACTAGTTATGGTTAAGTAGGAAACTACTCAAACTATGAACTACCGAACTAGTAGAAGACTAGTTCGGTTCGGGTCGGGTTGGTTTCGGTTTTTACACAAGAAAACCGAAACCGACCTGATATATCGGTTTATATATTTGCCCAACCCGAAACCGACTAGTACTGATGAAAACCCGGCCGACTCGGGTTGGGTCGGTCCGGGTTGGTCGGGTTGGGCATTCTTATGAACAGCCCTAATTTGTACTCCTTCCAAATGGAGCCTAATAACACCTATTGAGTTGAAATGAATATAATAATGTTAAAGAACATATATATAAATAATCTATACTACTTTAAAAAGCACAAATAGTCTCACTAATATTTCTGGATTTTTTTAGGACAAAATTTGCCCTTTTAGTTTTAATTTTATTGATAAAAAAATGAGTAATCAATTATTAATATTAAATGAGTTGAAAAGAGACAATTATAAGATATTCAATTTCCTTTCATTAAACCCAACACTTTGGCTATGTTTGGTTTGAAGGAAAAAGTAGGGAAAGGAAGGGAAAGATATGAAAACCTATACAAGGTTTGTAAAGGTTTCTCTAACTTTCCCTTCCTTTCCCTACTTTTTTCCTTCAAACCAAACACAACGTTAAGGTATTAATTTGCATTCAACTTCATTGGATCATATATTTAAGGCATCTTTATTTCCTCTCATCATTAAATTCTATTAATTAAATCCATACATGATAAATTAATAATTCCAATAAAATAAAAAACTTTTAAAATCTACCTGAACAAAATAGTGTTTTCAACTAAACAAGGGTACGAAATTAAACCATTTTGGGTCAAATAGGTCAATCCATGTTGTCACAATTAAATAATAAAATTCAAAAATAGATAAAATGCAAAAAATATAGAAATTAAAAAAAAATTGAAAACATTTTTAACATCATATATTTGACATATTAAACAATAATAAGTATGATAAATAAGAAATGTTTTTATTAATGATGAAAATGGAATGTAAAATTTAAAACCAATTATAAATAAAGCTATTTTCCTATTCCCTCTCATTAAATCTCATATTAAGGTATATTCTCTCATTAAATCCACAAAATTAATTTTAATATTATTAAAATAAATATTTTGAAAAATAATTTGAAAACAAAACTATTTTCTTCCCTCCCAATGGTGGGTAATTCAACCATTTTGGGTCAAATGGGTTAATAAATAATGTCATATTTAATAATAAAAAATTAAATATATAAAATTTATTATACAAAAAGTAAAAAAAAATGGAAATGTAAAGTAATTTTATTAATGATGAAAATGGAATGATAGAGTTAAAATCAACCTATAAATGAAATGATGTCATAGTCAAATAATAAAATTTTTATAAATAGAAAATATAAATAATAACAAAAATAGAAAAAATTTGGGCACATATCTAATGTTACATATTCATAAAAATAAATATTGGGTACATCTCTAATATTATACATTCATTATCAATGATGGAAATGTAATATAAAATTTAGTGTCAACCCAGAAATCAAATTATTTTCCTTTTTAGGTTGTAGATTAGTGGTTTGGGTCATATGGATTAATCGATGATATGATTGTTAAATAATAAATCTT